ATTTTTTTTTATTGTAATCTATTTTTAATATAAAATTTGATGGCAAAATAGTATATATATATATATATATATATATATATATATAATATTTTCTATATCATTTTTCTCTAAGATTATTATTATTATTATTATTATTATTATTATTATTATTGTTCCGCTAAAACTGCAAAAGTGTCAAAATCATATGATTGCATGCTTTAGACAGAAAATCTATTAATTTGTTTACTGAAAATTGCTGGTGTCAGCCAAATTTCCTCTTTTTTCCTTTCCTTCTTTTTCTTTCGCTCTCTTTGTCACTTTCTCCCGATTGGACAAACCCTTTCTATTTCACTGTGTACATCCATGATAATTAGGTCAACATGGTTGCTTCCTTTGCTACCATTTCGATATATCTCTTTAAACATATATATATATATATATATATATATATATATATATATATATATATATATATATATATATATATATATATAATACTAGGTCTGCTCTACTCATTGTATTGAGCACTTTATTTAGTTATTTTGGCTACTCGCATCGGGTTTTTTTTTCTTTGTGCCTTGAACTCGTATGCTGGACGATTATTTTCGGTTAACGTACATGTTCTTGGTTCTTTCTTTTTTTATACCTTTTTTCCCTTTGGTATTGTCTTGTTTATTTACAAATCAATACAACGAAGGTTTTCCGAGCGTGTATAGTTTCTTATACTTATAAGATTCCTATTAAGTATATATATATATATATATATATATATATATATATAATTATTTAAAAAAAATTATAATATAAATATGTTATAAAATCACTACAAAAATAGCCATTTTGTTTCAACACCCCTAGTGTCTTATCAAGTGATGATGTTGAATGTAAAATAAATGGTTTTAAAAATTATGTATATATATATATATATATGTGTGTGTGTGCGCGTCATTCGCAGTTTCGACTAGACAATCGAATCGAAACCCAACTGATTTGGTGTCAGTCAGAGCTTCTACCACTGAGCCATCTTCACTCGACACAATGAGTCAGCCAAATCTAGCGTATTATTTTTTACAAACATAAACAAACGACAAGCAGCCATAGTGCTCCATTCATTTTACTGAAGAGCTTCGCATTCATGCAGGTGGCCGTTGTTTTTAGAATTGGCTTGTCATTCAACAGTGCTCAATTGAAAATATATTTTCAAGAGCTAAATTATGTCATTCGCAGACAGTACTGTTTCGCTATATCACAGCTCTTCAGTGCGACTAGACAACCGAATGCCTCAAGTCCGGATCGAAACTCTGTCAGCCATCTTCACTCGACAGAATGAGTCAGCCATTCAACTCTTCACCCTACCACACAAGCAGGCGAACCCAGTCATGGCTGTCAGACAATTTCTGCCACCACGCATCACCCCTTACATCTGGCCACCTAACTCCCCAGACTTCAAACCCCTTGATTATTATGTGTGGGGCACAGTTGAGGGAGAGACCAACAATATTCCTTGTAACACTAAAGATGAACTGAAAGCAAGGATTATGGCAACATTCACCAACTTAAACAAGGAGACCGTCCAGAAGAGTTGCAGGAGATTCCGAAGTTGTCTGGATGCCGTGGTTGAAGCTAATGGCGATTTTATTGAATAAATTTAGTCTTTACTATTTCAAGATATTTTTGCGTCATTTTGGTAAATATATCTGTTAAAATGAAGTGTCAATATTTTTTTTTTTGCATCATTTAGACGACAATTTATCCATCACAGTCTGTGCACATATATGTGTGTGCGTGCGTGTGTGTGTGTTTGTGTGTAAAACAGCCTTTTTTTATCCTACTACAGGACCACAGGCTTACAAGTCTCTCATACAGGGGGAGTAATGGACCTAACCCTCTCACACTGACTCATCACTTGTTGGTAGTGTATTTTAATAGAGAGTCATTCTTCTCTTAGCCTGGATGTTTTCATTTTAATAATGTTTACCCAATACAAAGCCTGAGTGCCAGTCGAGGTAGAGTTGTATTAGCGTAAGGGCAAAAAGTGAAGTTATTGGTGCTATGCAGGAAAGATAACAACTAACTCTAGACTTGAAGAGGTTAACATTTAATTGGTGAATAAAAGTTCAGAGTTCAGGCGGAGGCGTTAGAAGTGAAAGTAGACTTTTTAGAAGGAACCGGAAACCCAATCCTAAACATGAAACAAAGAATAAATCTCTACTCCTGTTCAAGAGACCGGGGAGGAATGAACAAGCGATAGGCAAACCTATTTATTCCTATTGGGAGAGGAAAGCAAATAATAACAACGGAATAAAATTTCAGAGTTCAAGTGGAGACGTCAGAAGTACAGTGTTGAAGGAACCGGTAACCCATTCTTAAACGGGAAACAAGTGGCAACCCTTTACATCTGTTCACAAAACTTGGGAGGGGTCTGAACCGGGCAATAGGCGGGTCTATCTACTGGGGGGAGAAAAAAATAAGATAATTAGCGAATAAAATTTTAGAGTCCTGGCGGAGATGTTAGAAGTCTGGATTTGAACCAGGAAGGAATATTAATTGAACCACAGGCAAAACTAACTCCTTCTTCTCAGGGCGAGAAAATATTGTTCAAATCAATTAGGAACACGGACACAATGTACTGACCATGATTAGAAAATTTCTATAAGTCTAGATACATACATAAAAATTCCATGCATTCAGTTAAAAATCAAAATAAAATCATCCTTGATAATGGTTAAAGGAATAGTCGAATGCGATCGGATATACAGAACAGTTGGACAATTTTTGCACAACTTATGGCCAGAAAAGGAAAAAAAACATATACGGACAAAAGCTTATTCACAGTACATTGTCAATCGTCTTTAATTTAATATATATATATATATATATATATATATATATATA